ACGTCTTCGAACCCGAATGGGTAATATTACACATTACGCAACAGCTTTTGTATCTACCATTTCGATTTCGAATGTGTTACTCTCAATAAAACACATCATTTTGCAGATTTAAAACACCTCATTCTTAATTAAAACTGTTATTAATTTTACTCTTATTTTACCAGTATATTATGTCATCTTAAAATTTATACTCGTTTTAATTAAAAAACTGTGCTTCAACGCCGTCTTTCATAACATATATCAACCCCACAAAAAATACTTGAGCAAAATATTAAAAAAATCGTTCATTGCTTTGAAGTCTCCAATATTTCTCAATGCAAACTGCCGATGAAAAGATTAATCAATACAAGATTGATCAATAGAAGTGAAAGAACAGTTTATGAAGGAATAAGAACACTTCACGTCTGAATAGCTAACGTTAAAAAGGTGGTAAAAACTGGTAATCCGAAGTTATTAAAAATGTCGAGGAGAAAAAAAACTCTTTCACCTTTTAACGCGACAAAAACGTATCCTTTCGAATAAACGACAAGAACGGGATTCGCGCTGACCTTTCGTGCTGCGCTTTTACGAGGAAATGGGCGTCGCAGGATATTCCAGAAATGTTTTCTTCCTGCCATCTCAGCAGAACGTTCGCAAAAAGCTTTTCCATGCAGCGTTAGCCGTGCGATCGCGGATTACGGGAAAATTAAAACGTTACCCGAAGTTGAGCCGTGTACGGGAGATGCTGGTAATGGCGGTCACTTAATCAATAATTTTTTAATATTTTATAAATTATGCACTTAAAATACAAGGTATCTTCCTCTTAGCAAACTTTATTATCTCGAGATTAAATTTTCTTTTCGTTTTTTGAGTAAAATTAGCAAATGTGCGGAGACTTTCGGGCGCCATTGTTGTGGACCGTGGCGGGAATTTCAAACGAGTTTTGCTTCACGCAAGTTTTACGTGTGAAATCATTGATTGAATCACTTTTAATATACTAGGATTGCAATTATAGTTATTAAAGCATTTCTATACTGTATTTCATAGTTTTGCTTACATTTATCAAAAAGTGTAAGTGTTAATAATTCTGCTTTCTTTAGTATCAGTGAAATTGTATCTCGTTCGGTACTGAGCACTTATGTACTTGTTAAATTAATCTTTTGGTACAAAATTAAGTATGAATAACATTTTAGTAATACTTAATTATACTTCAAATACTCTATAACTTGCAGAAGTTTCGAAATTGTCTACCCAATCTAACTTTCGGTGTGATATAAAAGAACTTGTTATTTTCAAACAAGTAAAGTAATTTTTAGAAACAAAATATATGAAAAATAATAAAATCGTAACAGTGACCGCCATTGCTTTCTCCCTTACCTTCACAAAATGGCGCTAAATCGCGTCGTTCCGTCCATCGAGGTTAAAAGAATAGAAAATTAGTTCATTGATCATCTCGAAAGAAACGTGAAAAAGAAAAGGAAAAATCAGAAAAAGTAGCATCTCTCAAATCTCCATCAGCAAGAAGTATCTATAAGTGACAAGTTGCCCGATTTGCTGTAGCCTCGCAACCCCTGACATCCGCAAATTTAATTCGCGAATGCTTAGGGAAGCGGAAACAAGACGACACCGGGACGATATTTTCACGTATGTCGACTCATGTGAAATTGCCTTTAGAACGAACAAGCTAAGTCTAGAGATTCCCAAGAAGTATGACTAATACATGTTGCTATCCCTTCGATTTCCCAATGAACAATGGGAAAAAGAAGAAAAAAGAAAAGTCGATGGTACATCGAATATATGTGTAAATCGTGACATAGTTGAAACGTATAGCATGAGTTTTTTTAGTTTCCGTCGTGCGATTACCGTTTGTACAGTAAAAAGAGGTATAGCGATCGAGTTGTATATACAATCTTTAAATACAGAAAGTAGATAAACGAAAAATGTGAGAAATAGTTGGATAACGATGGTTCTAATGATGCCTCCATTTTGTATTCCCTCGAGAACAAGATGGCCGCTCTCGTTTAGCCGTAGTACGCTTCTTAACCCGTAACTATGCGTCTAGAATTTCATGGACAATCAGCTTTAAACCTCTTAACTATTCACCGTCAGTGCTTTTAACAATTATACTATGATAAGCTAGTTTAATGGCGGATCGTTAGTACAGACTTAGTCGTTCTCAACTTCACTTTTTGTGGATTAGTTCTCTATGCATAATCGTGGGATTATAAAGTAGCTATGTGATATGAAGGGCATTATACAGGATAATTGTTAACAAATTGAGGTATACAGGGTGTTTCAAAGGTTGTGTACACATTGATGTATTATTAGAAGATGTAGGTGATAATATAGGAAAGTGATCTTTCTGATGATCACTCGGTGTACATTGTTGTCCAAAGTCCTGAAGTCTATAAACTAAAAAATTTCACTGACATGCTTAAAAGTAGAATCTAATAGTCCTAGCAATCTTAGATATTTAAAATACTAAATTGCCAGAGTTCTGTAGTTCTATAAATTTTATAGTCCACTATGCTAGAGTCCCAAACTCCTACAAACCCAAAATCCTAAACTGAAATCTTACAAACCCAAAATCCTATACTCCCAAAAATCTAATAGACTTAACATTCTACGGTTCCAAAATCCTACATACCCAAAAATTCTCCGAGTCTAAAATCCTATAGTCCCAAAATCCTTCACCCTCAATGCTTCCCCCCAAAAATCCTGCAGTTCCAAACTTCTATCATCCCAAGACCTCAAACTCCCGAATTACTGTACATATAAAATCCTCCAGTACCAAAAATCGAGCGAACTAAAGCAAGAAATATTAATGCAATTTGGTAGAGGTTGAGAACGACTGAATTGTACTACCATTGTGCCCACCTCCGTCCGCAAGAAAAAAATCCATACGCGAAGCTAAGTTCTCTTCCCCGAGCGTCCCGCGAAAAATTCTAACACGTAGATACGGGTTACAAAACTAGCGATAAAGGGGGCAAAGAAATACGAACGGAACGTTGAAAAGCTAGAAAACGAGAATGTAGGCAAGTAGCGACGATTTTGACCCGAATAAAAGCGGAGAAAATAAACGAGAAAAAATGAAAATGAGAAAAAAAAAGAAACGACGACTGGTAAAGCACCTGTAGTGACCCGATGGTGCGTACGTTTCTCGCGCTCGACTTTGCATGCGCATGATGACCTCCTTCTTTCGCATTGCTCGAGTTACTCCGTATTTTTTTTTTCCCTTTTTTGCATAACAAAACTGTGGTTGTGTAGCCAATGGCCTGTAGCACGTAGACGCCATATTGTACGTACGTGTACGCATGTACCGGCTTCGTTTGCACGCGCGCGCGTGCATTTTGCATGCAATGAGCTTGTGCTATTATCCTCGTGCACTCTCTCTCTGTATATATACTGTTACATATGTATGTATATTTGGTACGATTCAGAGGTTTCTCCTTTATGTTTTCTTTTTTACCTGCTCGTGTCGGTTTCGCCGATAAAAAAAGGAAACGACGAGATTTCTATAAATGCGCGTGAACTTTGAACTTCGTTTGAAGAAGATAACGCGCCGTTGTTCGCGCGAGACGTGTGCGCATGCGCGCACGATGGCGCGCCATGTTCGAATGCTGAATTATTCGATGTTTTTTTTTTCTTTCTTTTCTTTGCACTTTGGCAGTTTGAGGAATTTGCAGAGATAACTGTTACGAGATTAGATGTATCAGATGGTTATTGATAGTTATGGATTAATATTTTTTTACTGAACTGATTGTAGTTTTGGTCGATGTCGATCATTGTCAGTTTTTATTAATATTGTTAAGTGGTATTTATTAGTGACATGAAGTGATTTATGGAATTCTTTTGAAAAACAAGTGGTGAATTTTTGAGAATAATGGAAGATATAGTAATTCAATTTTTGCAGTTTACTGTTATATATAATTATCTGTAAATCCCTAGGTTTCCAGACCTCTAGATTTCTGCATTCCCTATATCTTATAGCTTATTCTTAATAAACCAACATTCCTTAATCTTAAAATTCTAAACCAATTTCCCTAGACTCCTGTACCATTACATCGAGTATTTCTAGATTTAAGTATCCCTAAGTCCGCCATTCCTACGACCAAATATCTTCAGATTCCAATCTTCTCCAAATCTGAAAGCCCCGAAAATGTCCCTAAATCGTCCCTAGATAAATTATTCCTGGACCGTGTACCAACGTAATTTTTACAACCTGACAATGATCGAAAGAGCAGAAAAGTGCAATATATTTCATGAACATTGATATTTAATAAAAATTGACTTGCTCCGAATGACCAAGTTCAAAACCTTTTTCTAAAAAGGTCATTTAACTGTTATCTTTGCTCTCTGAATTTATACGTTGACCATTTTGTTAGTTGCGTTTGTCGGTTTAGTTCGCTGCCAGACAAGAATAGAAAATGTCGCAAGGAGAGACGATAATAGTGACGATTCAACGAACGTCCGTCATTTCGAATCTGCCGGATGAAAAGATTAAATTTCTTGGAATACAAGTATATCCTACGAGATACAAACGATAATAATGATTATCTGTACATCGAGACTAATATGCACTCGCTCGTCGCGTGCACAGAGTTTTTTGGCTGTAGTTTGCCGTTGTTGTTTGCCGTGAGATCCAACAATAACGAGTGGTTTATTATTTCTTTTTAATTTTTTTTTTTAATAACATAATCATCGAACAAGCTATGGTATGAATAACGTAGTGACGCCAAGCTCGATTTTCCCCGCGATAATCGCGGGGTGAATCCGTGATCGAGATCTCGCGAAGGCTTTTCAGATTTTAGTTGAAGAATCATCTTTCACGCAGGCATAGGTAATTAGCAACATAAGACACCTTATATGTGTGATAGTCCGCTAGTGATTTATTGCTGGATACCCAATAGAGCCTTTAGCTGATTAGTGTTCTTGTACCTTCGCGACGTCGTTGATCACGAAATGAACGCAAACCGCTTTCGAGCTGACATTATTCTGACTTTGTACTCTCGATTTTCTAGGTGCAGCAGCCAATCTACGCAAGGAGGTTATCAGAAACAAAATCAGAGCTATTGGCAAGATGGCGCGTGTCTTCTCCGTCTTGAGGTCAGTATTACCACCATTTTCTATTTTTCTGTTTCATAACTCAAGCTTATAATTCTGAAGCAATTTAATTATTAGCCATCATATTGATAAGTAAACACTTGTTCCATAAATTCAAAATTCGTATTCAAAGCTGACTCGGTTCTTATACAAAATGGCGGGTAGCGATGGCTACAAGATGTAGGAACTAGCTTCATTGAAAATATTCAATTCGATTACTGAAGACAAAGTATTACCACCATTTTATATTATTTTTCTGTTTCATAACTCAAGCTTATAATTCTGAAGCAATTTAATTATTAGCCATCATATTGATAAGCAATCAAACACTTGTTCCATAAATTCAAAATTCGTATTCAAAGCTGACTTGGTTCTTATACAAAATGGCGGGTAGTGATGGCTGCAAGATGTAGGAACTAGCTTCATTGAAAATATTCAATTCGATTACTGAAGACAAAGTATTATTACCACCATTTTCTATTTTTCTGTTTCATAACTCAAGCTTATAATTATGAAGCAATTTAATTATTAGCCATCATATTGATAAGCAATCAAATACTTGTTCCTTAAATGAAAAATTCGTATTCAAAGCTGACTCGGTTCTTATACAAAATGGCGGGTAGTGATGGCTGCAAGATGTAGGAACTAGCTTCATTGAAAATATTCAATTCGATTACTGAAGACAAAGTATTACCACCATTTTATATTATTTTTCTGTTTCATAACTCAAGCTTATAATTATGAAGCAATTTAATTATTAGCCATCATATTGATAAGTAAACACTTGTTCCATAAATTCAAAATTCGTATTCAAAGCTGACTCGGTTCTTATACAAAATGGCGGGTAGTGATGGCTACAAGATGTAGGAACTGCTTCATTGAAAATATTCAATTCGATTACTGAAGATAAAGTGTTCAATTTTCATTCAAAATTCGATTACTGAAGAAGTGTTCAATTTCATACAAAATTTGATAACTGAAGTGTTTAATTTCGTACAATATTATTAAATTCTGTATGAGTAATTAAATTACAAGTATTGTGAAGTTTTTATATCAACCATATAGTTTTTCATTTCTCCTTGGACAGCCAACGTATTAATAGACATTAGCGTTGTTATTCGAGATGTTATCTCCAGGATACTTAACCTCGTAGCCATCAATCGATTCGAATTACATCCATCGAAGCATCACGTGAACGCGTATCCGCAAAACAAACTGTCTAAGAGGAAAAATCTAAACACCCACGCACGAAACAAAATGGAGATTACTAAATTAAGCGAAATTACGTGGTTCTAGTAATTCGATAAAATACGTGTATAATTCGGTGCCGCGACCGAAACTTCCGGCGGAGTGCGACGAAGAGAGGCGACGCACTGTTTCGTGCCCGCAATCGTAATTGGCTGGCGGAACAATTATGCGTCGATTATGCCGATAGAATTCGTCGACGAAATATCCCGGAAATCGAACAAAAGTTTACGGTCCGTCGGTAATTTGACGAGAAGCGCGCGAGGCGTTTCGCGAAAATAATCCGTCGCGCGATATTAATCTGCCGGGTCCCCCGAGGGATGCAAAATCGAAAATGGAAAATGGTCCGCGACGAAAAATCCTCCGATCCGTTCCGCTCGAGCGGATATCCCGTGGCCGAATCGTTAAATATCGCACGGTTCTGAACGAATTAATTCGGATTAATCAACGCGGTGTTGAACGTCAATCGATTGCCATTTACCGCTACCGGGGGACAATATGATCGTCATTTTATGGAATTATTTTTCCTTTTTCAGGGAGGAGAGCGAAAGCGTGCTGCAGCTGAAGGGGCTCACCCCCACTGGAGCTTTACCGCTTGGCGCGTTATCTGGTGGCAAGACGTCCCTAAAAAACGGTACATTTTTCTATTATTATTGACTTACTGTAGGCTTAATGTTCTTCATAAGTCTTCTTCTTCACAAGTTAGTTAATTGTTAGACAGTTAATTATTTTAACTTTTAACGCTTAAATTGTAGACAGTTCAAAATTTAATATGGTAGATAAACTTGGTGGCAAGATGTCCCTAAAAGACGGTACATTTTTCTATTATTATTGGGTTACTTTAGGCTTAATCTTCTTCACAAGTTAGTTAATTATTTTAACTTTTAACAGTTACATTGTATACAGCTCACTTCAAAATTTAATATGCTAAACTTGGTGGCTAAACTTGGTAGCAGTTTTATATTGGATTATTTGTTAATTCTTCTTCACGTTCAATTTGCTCACTCATCTACAGTAAAGCATGATTAAAATTTGCTTGAAGTACATTCTTATACATCTCAAGTTTACCAAGTTAGAACCCCATTAAAAAATAATTGAAACGGATGATGGAAAAATAACACAGTATGTTTTTATAATTTATTATTCAAAGAAGGAATTTTAAGGTCCTCAAGTGGTTACATACGTAAGGACAGTTATTCAGAAGAGTAACCTTGACGTGTATATTTCAAGGTCATCGATATCAATGGAGTATATGTCTTTTTGTAACTAATTGCTATATATGCCACATTTTTGCTAATATCTCTGAAACTATGGGCAAACGACGATTATACGTATAGAAAGAAGTTATTCAGAATGACTTTCTTGATGACATATTTCAAGGTCATTCAAATCGGTAAAGTTTGAATCTTGCCATAACTATGTGCTGCATAAATCATACTTTTGCGAATATCTCTAAAATTAGAAGCAAAAGGCTATTAGGTATATAGGAAAAAGTTGTTCAGAATAATGTCCTTGACAACATATTTCAAGATCATCCAAATCGGTGAAGTTTGAATCTTGCCATAACTATGTGCTACATAAATCATACTTTTGCGAATATCTCTAAAATTAGAAGCAAAAAGCTATTAGATATATAGGAAAAAGTTGTTTAGAATAATGTCCTTGACAACATATTTCAAGGTCATCCAAATCGGTGAAGTTTGAATTTTGCCATAACTATGGGGTACAAAAAAACATAATTTTGCTAATATCTCTGAAAATAGAGCCGAACTGTAATTATACGTATAAACAGAAGTTGTTCAGAATAACATCCCTGACAAAATATTTCGAGGTCATCAAAGTCAATGAATAATGTTTACAAGAATTTACAAAGCTTCTTACTTTTGTCTAAGTTTCTATATGACTCTGAGATGCACAAATAACTAAATGTATATTCTGACATCCATTGTGTTCGCAGCTCTCCAAGGATTCTCGCCGAACCACAAAATCACCTCGTTCGCCGAAGCAAAGGGTCTGGACGCCATAAACGAAAGGATGCCACCAAGAAAGGACGCTCCACCGACGCCGGTAAACGAGGAGAAACCCGTGATAAAGCCGTCAACTCCTGCGGGAGACAAGCGAGACCACAACACACCGCAACCGCAATCGTGAGCCTCACACTCGTCCAATCAAGGTACACATCACACCCACGTGGATGATCCTGACAGAGGGAGAGTGCCTTCTCTCCCTTTTCTATCTCTTTCTGCTCCATGTAGAATCGGGATCTTCGGTCCTGCGGCTCTCCTCATCGGGATACTCGCCATTGACAAACGATCCTGTCTTCAATCCTACAAATTGAAACTATTGGTCTGGAAAAAATCCTCCAAGAATTCGATAACCAAACTTTCACGTAGACTGTATGTTTTTGGTTACAATGTTTAATTATTAAATTCGGAACCAGTTTTTTTGGTTAACTTTTGTAATTATATTTTGTTGATATGACAAGAGAAAATTGTACGTGTGTATGACAGTCAGAGTAAAATTGTATATGGAATTTTTTAATTGAGGCTTGAATTCTGAACTTTGTGACCACGGGCATTGTACCTTTGAGTGACATAAGCGGAAAGAGTAAAAGAGAGGCAGTTTGAAAATAAATGTTTTTAATGTTTTTTATTGGAATATCATTCAAGTGATGTGATCTTTTGCATCTCTTATTCGTTCTTTTTTCATGAAATTTTGTATCTGAAAAACATAAATTAAATGGAATATACGTAAACAGTAATTAGATATTTTAGTTAAATTATAAGAATTTATTTCTTCTTTTAAGCACCTGAAAAATTGAAGAATTAATAGATTGTTAAAAATAAATTAATTTTAGGATTCAAGATAGATAAATTTTATATAAATATATTCTTGGAGGATTCATTTTACAATTAACTGTTCCGCTAATTACAAGAATCGTTTGCCAAGTTAAAGGACCGTTCATTCCAAACTGAGCTAAAAGAATGAAAGAAAGAAGTACATAAAGGAGCAATTAGCGTCATCGCGAACGAATCAGTAAATGAATTCTGTAGTAACTGGCAAAGTGTTGATTTGAAATTGATCGAGTAGACTGTTCGACGGTTGCTTGATAATCAATGAACGATAATGTTTTCCACGAGTGATCGTGTATCGAAAATTGCAACGAACAGCTCGATGATAATCACCGATTAACTTCACGCACGAATCATGCACCGATTCTCTGTCTCGATCGTGGCCTAACTAATTTCAACGACTGAGACTACTCACGACTAACCTGACATCGTAGACGAGCTGTCACGTGTGACGGAGTTGAGCGTTATTTGTCAATCATCGATAATTTATGTATATCTGTAATTCTGACATTTTGTTACGATTTATAGATTTTTTGGGTTTTTGGGGTTTGGAGTTTTTGGAGTTTCGGGTTTTGGGGTTTTTGGGTTTTTGAAGGTTTTGGGTTTTGGGGGTTTGGGGGTTTGGGTTTTTGGATTTTTGAGGTTTGGGGTTTGGGGTTTTTGGGTTTTTAGGATTTTGAGGTTTTGGGGGTTTGGGTTTTTGGGGTTTGGGTTTTTGGGGTTTGGGTTTTTGGGGTTTGGGTTTTTGGGGTTTGGGGTTTTGGGTTTTTGGATTTTTGAGGTTTGAGGTTTGTTGGGTTTTTGGGGTTTGGGTTTTTGGGGTTTGGGTTTTTGGGGTTTGGGTTTTTGGGGTTTGGGTTTTTGGGGTTTGGGTTTTTGGGGTTTGGGTTTTTGGGGTTTGGGGTTTTGGGTTTTTGGATTTTTGAGGTTTGGGTTTTTGGGTTTTTGGGTTTTTGGGTTTTTGGGTTTTTGGGATTTTGAGGTTTTGGGGGTTTGGGTTTTTGGGGTTTTGGGGGTTTGGGGTTTTTGGGTTTTTAGGTTTTTTGGGTTTTTGGATTTTTGGGTTTGCAGATTTTTAGATTTTTAGGTTTTCAGATTTTTAGATTTTTGGGTTTTTGGATTTTTAAATCTTTAGATTTTTGAGTTTTTCAATTTTTAGATTTTTCAATTCCTGAACTTCTAAATTTCCAGATTTCTAAATTTCCAATTTTCTAATTATTTAAATTTCCATGTCTTTAAGTTTCCAAGTTTCAAATTTCCAATTTTGTAATTCCTAAATTAAGAAGTTTAATATATATGTATTTTTATATTTTCTATTACATATATTTATATATATACATGTCTATATGTCTACATGTCTGCATATCTACATATCTACATGTCTACATATTTACATGTCTACATGTCTACATATGTACATGTCTACAACATGTAGATCTCTAAATTCGAGCAATACACAAAATTACCCATGATTCCCAAATAAAGCTCAACTCTGTCACATAAATTCCACAGCTTCCTTAATGTGTATGTATGTGTACAGCACGTGATACACTTTGTTGACCACAAAAGAACAGTTGTTCATCGTTCAATCTAACCGCACACATCCGATGATACCAGTCGTTGCGACGTTTCGAGAAAGGCGAAATAATTCCCAGAGATTAGAGTCAACAATTTTAATTCGAATATGGAAAGTTTGTTTTAGCTAGAAGATTAAAAGCGTGCATGCACAACTCGAGATGAAAAAGCTACGCTGTCGCGTTGTTCCGTGTTGGAAACACAAATTAGTGTATCGTCGTGCACGACCGGTCTCTCCCTGTCTGTCTACCATAAACTCGCAGAGTGTCCGACAAACTTCCTAACATTCATCAAAGTTTGAACGATATTGTCTTCACGGTAACTGTTCGGCGCTCAATGGAATTACAGCCAGAGTAGTTGCGGCCGTTTATTGTCAGACCTCGGCCCGCTGAAAGCGGCCAGAAACGCTTGACGGTCATTAACAGCTTGATAATTCGGAACTGCATCGTCGCAACGACGGGATTACAGAAAAATTGAAATTATTGCAAAAATTAACATGGTGACCCCACTTTTTTAACATGGGTAGTTGACACGTTGAATGCTAATAAGGAAAACTGTTGTGGAAACAATTCAGAATTTGATCAAACTGAATTGTATGGAATTTAGTTGGTTCAAATTGAATTATGTTGAATTTGGACTCAAGTTGAATTATGTGGAACTGAGTTGCGTTGAATCGGACTATTTTTAATTAAATTGCGTTGAGTGGTGTTATGTTGAATTGAATTGTATTTAATTCAGTTGATTCAGGTTGAAATATGTTGAATTGAATCGTGTTGAATTGCATTTGAGTGGAATTCAATCGTGTCAAGTCGAGTTACGTTGAATTCGGTTGTGTTGAGTCGGAAGGTACCGAATTAATACGAGTCAAGTCGAATTGTATCGAATTCAATCGCGTTGAGTCGGAACGTGTCGAATTCGGTCGAGTTGAGTCGGAATGGGCCGAATTCAATCGGGTTCTGTCGGAATGGGCCGAATTCAATTACGTCGAGACGGAATGGGTTGAATTCTATCGAATTGAATCGGAATGGGTCGAATTGAATTGCATCGAGTCGGAATGTGCCGAATTTAGTCGAGTTAAGTCGGAACGGGCCGAATTCAATTGCGTTAAGTCGGAATGGGCCGAATTCTATCGAGTTGAATCGGAATGGACCGAATTCAATCGCGTCGAGTCGAATTAAACCGAATTCAATCGCGTCGAATTAAAATGTACCGAATTCAATCGCGTCGAATTATAATATGTTGAAATCAATCGCGTCGAGTCGGAATAGACCGAATTCAATCGCGTTGAGTCATAATGGGCCGAATTCAATCGCGTTGAGTCGGAATGGGCCGAATTTATTCGCGTCGAGTCGAAATGTACCGAATTCAATCGCGTTGAGTCGAATTATACCGAATTCAATCGCGTCGAATTAAAATGTACCGAATTCAATCGCGTTGAGTCGAATTATACCGAATTCAATCGCGTCGAATTAAAATGTACCGAATTCAATCGCGTTGAGTCGAATTATACCGAATTCAATCGCGTCGAATTAAAATGTACCGAATTCAATCGCGTTGAGTCGAATTATACCGAATTCAATCGCGTCGAATTAAAATGTACCGAATTCAATCGCGTTGAGTCGAATTATACCGAATTCAATCGCGTCGAATTAAAATGTACCGAATTCAATCGCGTTGAGTCGAATTATACCGAATTCAATCGCGTCGAATTAAAATGTACCGAATTCAATCGCGTTGAGTCGAATTATACCGAATTCAATCGCGTCGAATTAAAATGTACCGAATTCAATCGCGTTGAGTCGAATTATACCGAATTCAATCGCGTCGAATTAAAATGTACCGAATTCAATCGCGTTGAGTCGAATTATACCGAATTCAATCGCGTCGAATTAAAATGTACCGAATTCAATCGCGTTGAGTCGAATTATACCGAATTCAATCGCGTCGAATTAAAATGTACCGAATTCAATCGCGTTGAGTCGAATTATACCGAATTCAATCGCGTCGAATTAAAATGTACCGAATTCAATCGCGTTGAGTCGAATTATACCGAATTCAATCGCGTCGAATTAAAATGTACCGAATTCAATCGCGTTGAGTCGAATTATACCGAATTCAATCGCGTCGAATTAAAATGTACCGAATTCAATCGCGTTGAGTCGAATTATACCGAATTCAATCGCGTCGAATTAAAATGTACCGAATTCAATCGCGTTGAGTCGAATTATACCGAATTCAATCGCATCGAATTAAAATGTACCGAATTCAATCGCGTCGAATTATAATGTGTTGAATTCAATCGCGTCGAGTCAAAATATTGAATTAAGTCAAGTCAAATTACAAGAAATCGAATCGCCCCAACTTTAATCGCAACCTCCCTTCACTCACATAATGCATCCTACCTTCTTAGTATTCAACGTGTGAACACAAACATCAGTCAAATTCATTGCCAATAAAAATGAATAAAAGTAATAACATAAAATTAATATTTCAAACAAGTTATAACAAATGTTAATAAGAATTAATGCAATGAACTTGGCTATAGTAATATTCTAAAATCCAGGTTTTTTTGTACCAAAACAAATGGCTCGTGAAAGATTTATAGCATGCTGAATCGCACGAGTAAAAGAACTCTACCGAGAGAAATCAATATACTCGCACAAGTTTGTACGGCGTTGTTTCAAAACGGTTCCCCAAAGGAGATTTCAAACGGTTTCTCCGTGAGATAATCGCCCCTAAATCCTCACCAGGCTTGCCATTAACTGCTGGTTTCCAGAAATTAGGGGTTCTTTGGGGAACTCGAACAACCGACAATTCTAACGTAAGATCCTCTTGGTTCCTACATTTCCATAAACTTTGCTTGTAAATCGATTGTAAACCCACACAAATGGTATGTGTTTGGTAGAAAAATAAACTGAAGATTTTGGTTACTTTTTACATTATTTTCTTTTTTATTTTATGTTGACTCTATTTTGTTCATTCATTTTGAAGATATTTATCTTGAAAATTATTTATTGTTACTTTAGAAATGATTATTGTTAATTTTATAGGGTAACCATGTTAGTGTACTAGGTATTATTTTACTGTTCTAGTACCTGTTCTATTATTTTACAATTTTATTACTTTTTACTATTGTACTATTTTACTGTTCAATTCTTTTAGTATTTTATTATTTTCCTATTCAGTAATTTCTCCATCCCACTTTGTTATAATTCTACTGTTTTACTATACTATTGTACCACTGTATTACTGCTGCACTATTTTATTATGCTAATATCTTATTTTTTAAATTAATTTTACTATACAACTGTACTACTATTAGTACTACTAACTATCCTACTATCTCTATTTTTCTTCACTATTTAAGTGATCAGATTTTAGGATTTGCAGACTTTTAGATTAAGGGTAGTTACGTTGACATTACTTTGACATTACAGTTCACATTGAACTTCTAACATATTAATTGTCACAATGATATTTGACATATATTTCTAAATCAATAACCAGCAAATAGTGATTTTTTCAACTTCTATCTCCTTCTATATTTTGTCTAGATAATCACTTCAACTGACCAAACACAACCTGACTTAATTACAACGCACATGGTGTTTATATGTTAGAATACAAGCAACCCATTTAAGTGTATTACACACATCAACCAAAATCTTCAGTTTCAACCTCTTTCAACATTCCACATTCAACCAAACGATGAACAACGAAGTACCTCAGGGTTGCCAGATTCAACATGGACATTAAATATGCATACTTTTACTTCCTCCCAAATAATACATAAGTTGGGAAAGAATTACACCTAGAGTTTAAAATCGAACACTCTGGCGAACAAATGTACATGTTCCATTTTATGGCAACCTTGATTATTATACAGTAGACTCCCGTATAATGCTGTTACTACACACTATATGACCTCACATTAAAAAAAATCTTGCAAGAATTATTTCACTTGAATCTACAGTATCATACATGTGATGTATAAACACAGTGAAACAATAGCAGCAATTAAGGGTAGAGAAATGAGTTCAAGAAAATTCATCAAACTTGTTAACTAGAAAATTTTAGAGTTGCCAGTCTAAATACCTTCAGAGTACCTCAACATAAATACCTTTGAATAGTAAGACTTAATTCTCAAATACAGATAATTCTTTTGAACTATTATTTGACTCGTTGAGAATCACATCAAGATTCAGCACATTGAAACCTTCTAATTGAGCAGTTTGATAAATTCTTTTAAAGCTATCTTTCTGATATTAATTATTACTATTCTTACTTTCATTATGTTTACATATCACATGTATAACACCATAGATTCAAGTAAAAACTTATACCAAATTGTGTCAAACAAAGTGATGAGTCACCTTCTAGTACAAAGTGGTATACGGATTCTACTGTATCGAATATCAGCGAGTTGGTCAACAAAGTGTGAAAGGAAACGACGACGAACCCGTTTGTTGGACCTATTTTTCAGGTGGCAAGGATGGGTGTTAAGATCCCAGTGCTGTCGCCGCCACCGCCGAAAGATCCAAAGCATTGCTCGCCTCTCCCCCCCGGTTGTTATCGCAAGCGCGCTGTTCGTCGGGCCAAGAAGGAGTCGCCGGGACCGCGAGGAGGATCGTCGCGAACAGGAGCGGGAAGGACAGGCTCGCGTGGGACGATCGAGCCAGGAAGAGGATCGTCGTCGTTGTTGTTGTTCGCGTGTCGCGGCCAATTGGTCCTGCAAAGGCTACTACTACCCTGCACGACGATGGAGGTGCTCGAGGGCCGGTCTGGCTCCGTTCGGGCCGCGTTACAGCTCGCGTCCGAATCGCGGAATATTCGCCTCGCGCG